TTATATTGCTACACTATATTTGTATCTCATGCTATCTTTTAGGATGCTACTATTCTACAGCTACTCAAACTACAACCCTCCTAACAATTCTCCTACTAACAATCCTTCTTCTAACAATCCTTCTCCTAACACTACTTCTGCTATCACTTCCAACAACACTTCTAATATACCTATCAATACTGCTAACAATAATTCTAACAACAAAGTCCTCACAACAACATATTTTATATCACTTCATATAACAATATTCTACACAACTCTTCTTATTTTAATCTTTACAATACACCTTACAATACACCATATATCTCTTATACCAACCTATCTTATAACAATGCATTTTCAAACTACAACTTACTTTCATATTCGACTGTTGGTATTAACCAAAATTGATATCAATTGAATACTTCTTATCATCAACTATCAAATAATAAATATGATGATGATAATTCTGACAACAGTATTTATAGTATATAAAGCATTTTTTCAAAAATAAGTAGTAAAAGTAAAAAATCGCAAAAATTTGACCATACCTAGTTGTATGCCAATTCTCCCAAACTAACGAATATAGATCTAAATATCGATTGAAATATTGATTCAAACATCAACCTAGCTGAACACTATCATATTCTAGTGAACGAAATAGATCTTTATCACCACCACTATAATATTTACAAGAAAGAGAAAGAAGGTCTAGATTACAATCTCGAGCGCTACCTAGATCAGAATCCCGAGTGCAATCTAGTTCAGGATCCTAAGCACAATCTAGATTTGGATCCCAAGCTTAATCTAGGTCTTGATCCCGAGATCAATGATTACCCAATCAGAAACAACTATGTAATAGTAATAGTATAGTATATAAGTTGTTTTTTTTTGATTTTTTAATAATCTAGATTGTCCCTTAGTTGGGTTATTATTTTTTTTTCTTATAACAATAAATATAAGAATACGCTAGTTATCAGAAGAAAGTTGATGAACTGCTGTTTAAGCAGAATATGTAGTTTTATCTTCTAGTAAAGCAGAATGGCATTAAGCTTAACAAAATGAGCAATGATTTAAAGAACAAACGTGAAAAAGACCTTTTCTCGAAGGTGCTGGACATAAATATTTTGTTTATATAGTAAAGAATAGTACTGGTCTTGTTTTTAAGCCTATTCTTCTGCAGAACATATATACAGACATTGGCAAACATCTTTTCCCAGTGCACATTTACTCTATGCAAAATATACTAAAGAAGTTCTTTAAGGACTACCTTAACAAAAACCTTCTTGAATATATATTGAACCTCAGTGAAAATGAGTTCACCAACAATTTTCATAGAGGTTGATGTAGTCAAATATATAATATCTTTACTTAATTAGTTTTAGCCATTTAATGTTTTGTTTTTTTATGTTTCTTTTTTGTAAGTTTAATTATTTTATTTTGTTTATTATTTTTATTATTTCTTCACTAATATACTAACTTTTTATTTATTTATTTATTTATTTATTTTATTAGCTTTTACAAAAGATCAAAAATCATTGAGGAGCTATGTTGCAAAATGTACAATCTTTGATTTGAAAGATATTTGGTTGTGAAAGACTATCTCCTTTAAAAAGCACTGCTAGTGCTGCTAAAATAATTTGAAAAGAAAGTCTGCAAGTAAACAATTATTATTATACTCTTTTTGAGCAAAATAATAAAGGGGTATTTTGGGTCTCAATTATTGCAAGATCCGCCTTCAGTACAGTTGCAGTTTCAATTCTGACAAACCATCACTGTGTATTCACGTTGGCTATGTGTGATATCTTGCTAAATCTCTAATCCAGAAATGTTCTATGCAAGAATAAGCTTATGAAATAATATATAAATCAATATTTAGTAAGTATTTGTCACATAGCATTGATTTTATATCAATAAATGAAAATTTATTAATATATATTTTATTTTAACAGATAGATTTTGAAAATGGTGGCCTCAATTATACTTCAGTAGAAGCAATTATAATTGATAAACTTGTGGGTTGTTTTCAGAATAAACGGTTAAGGCAATCCTTTCCTGAACCTGAGCCTATGTCTATCTATCTTCTGAAGTTTTTTGTCAATGATGCTTTCTTAAGAAGAGATAGACGAATTATTTAGGATCAATCAATTTTAGTGTTTTTTTATATATATATATATATTTTTTTTTTTTATAATTTGTTTTATATTGTAATAAATATTGTATTGCAAATTTTATAATAAATTGTTTTTATTGCTTTTTTTAATAAATTTAAAATATTATATATTTCAATAAATATATAATAATTATAGAGTATGGTAACTTAGTAAAGTGGTGGAGTTGTTACACCTCCAGATGGCAGGTCTAAAGTTTGAATCCCACAAACAATGATTTTGAAAATACTAGATCTGTATCAGTTAATATTAAGATTATCAGTTGGATCCAGATATCTGTAATCTTGGTTACACTATCTCGAATGGGAGCTTTGGTGCAATAAATCCAGAAAACTGGAATTACCAAAAACAAGTTTGGCAAGTCCTAAGTAGGAAGGTAGTATAATCTTTGACAATGCTACAGAAGACCAAATTTGGAATTGGAGACCGAGATCAGAAAACCAAGTGACCAGGTTCTTAAATAGAAAACATACTAGCTAAACCACTAGGTAGCCAACCGGAGAAAAAGAACATGTGCTCTGGAAGCATGTACCAAGGAAAGAGAGACTATAAGGCACCTAAAGCCTGGGCAGACCGGTTGCCAGCTGGAAGTAAGAGAGAGACTGATAAAGAATCCAAGGAAGAAAAAAAGTCTAAATGTGGGTACTAGAGTCATATGAATCTTATAAGAACAAAAAGTACGTAATGAGCAACTAATTAGGAAGGTTGTAGTTTGAGTAGCTGTAGAATAGTAGCATCCTAAAAGATAGCATGAGATACAAATATAGTGTAGCAATATAA